CTACTTTTAATTTTTATTTTTATATGAACCATTTTATTATTTGTTTATTTTTTAACAACTACCTTTTTTATGAGTAACTTATCATTTTTTTCTCTTTTTATTTATTTTCTTCTTTTAATACAATGCAGGCACGAAGTGCCTTTTTCGTACTAGTGTTAAATAAGAGAGTTTGGAGATTCTCAAAATCTCTTTAAATATCTTATCAATAAAATAAAGTCAAATTTGACGATTTATCTAACTTATAAGTTAATTTTATCAAAATAATTTTTTTATTAATATTAAAAGTCCAACTAAAATAAATTTGTTTAATATACAAATTTAGTTTTTAGTTATAAAATTGTTGACTTATTTATTTTTATTCTTCTTAATTTTTTTTTAATTTTTTATCTAGTTAAATATAATCTCCTTTCATGTTACAAATATAAATTAACTTATTAGTATAGCTGCATACTTTCAATTAAGTTATTTTATAGGTGAAAATAGATTTCCAAAATAAGTCAAACATGAATTAAATACTAATGGCCTTGAATAAAATTTCTTTCATCTAAAAAAAAATTGACGATTTTGACAATATCTTAATTATCATAAAATTTTAATAACATTAAATGATTAAATCAGAATATTAAAATTTGAACATTTGTGAATTTTTTACTTAAATAATATTTTTTTAAAAAAAATTACCTAATTAGGCACTGTACAAGTTTATTTACAGAAGTAGAACCATTCACTGTTTAAGCTCAGAATTCAGTTCCCGGGGAACCGAATTCTGAGCTTCAAAGTGTATTTTTTTTTCTTTTTGCAACTCAGAATTCGATTCCCCGGGAACCGAATTCTGAGTTGATTTTATATATTTTTTTTTCGTGTTTGCAGGGAAACGTGGGCAAGTGTTGGAAGCGAAACGGCCCGTTCCAAAAGCAGAACGGGCCGTTCTGCTTAAAGATACAGAGTGATAATTGTGAAAGTGAAACGGGTCAAGAACGGGCCGTTCCAGAGTTAAGAATCAACGTTGAAAAAGATGTTGGAAGCGGTCCGTTTTAGACAAAACTTTTGGTCATTTTTTTTAACGTGGAACGGGCCGTTCTTGTTTTAGAACAGCCCGTTCCAAAATAGAAATTTACACATGTTTTTACTCTTGGAACGGTCTCGGAACGGCCCGTTGCAGGAGATTTTTTAACAAAGGTTTTGTGATTCAGAACGGGCCGTTCCATTTTTGGAACGGCCCGTTCTGGGTGAACAGTAAAAACGCAAGTTTTTCTATAAATAGACCCACTCCTCTTCATTTTTTTCACACAATTTCATATTAGTTCTGAACCAAACCTATGTGCCGACCACTCCTACACTCATAGAGGAGTCAGCCTATCACGCTCCGACCGATGAGATCACCCGAACACCAGCCACCTCTCTGATAGGCAACAAGGCCGACTCCAACACGCATTCACTAAGGCATCCCTTCTCCCGAAGGATAATGGAAGCTACCTTATTAGACCACTAGAAAAGCTTGCCGATCGAGAAGTATGATGGGTCCACCGACCCCGAGGAGCACTTGAATGTTTTCCTAACACAAGCAACCCTCTCTACTCAAGACGACTCGGCCTTGTGCCGAATATTTCCCACGTCACTGAAAGGAAGGGCCCTGAGTTGGTTCACAAGGTTGTTGAGCTCCTCTATCGACTCGTTCAACGAATTGTCATCCCAATTCACCTCCAGTTCGTGATGAGTAAACCATACAAGACGACCTCGTTAGCCTTAGCGGGGGTTCGTCAAGAGAAGAAAGAAAGTTTGAGAAGTTTCATGGACTGATTCAACAAAGTCGCCATGGAGATCGGCGACCTTAACCCGGCCGTGGCAATGGACCGGCTGAGCACTGCCCTCAGGCCGGGGCCATTTGTGAATAGCTTGTGCAAAAAGCCTCCTGTTGACATGAATGATCTCCGACGCCAAGCTGAAAAGTATATGCAAATGGAGGAGCTGGCGGAGACCCGGAATCAAGCCAGGGCCGAGGAGGGCCATAGTCGAAAAGAATCCGGCCGAGAGCCGATGAGAAAGCCGACTGCTGACCCCTCGAGCACTCGTCCCCCGAGGGGCCCACGTTATACAGCGTATACTCCCCTTAATGCGAGTAGAGCCAAAGTAATGGAGCAGGCCCTTGCATCAGAGATCCTCGTGATGCCGAAAAGGGCGAACATGCCCCCTAGGGCCGACAAGGCCAAGATGTGTCGATTCCACTGAAACAGGGGGCACTCAACAGAAGAATGTTCAGCACTAAAAGACAAGCTTGAGGACCTTATCAAACAAGGTCACCTCGCGAGCTTCGTCACCTCTCAAAACCACCAGTCAAGGGGAGGTGACTACCACTCTCGGGAAGCACCACCGCCG